TTAATACTCTTATGTACTGATATATTCAATTACACTATGTCTGATGATATAGCCAACTCTATTGAACTTAACAAGAGACAACACAGAAACTATGGTAGACCTCCTTGTACAATGCTTATATGTCTTTTTCATTTCATGTGTTTATAGGAATATGTTTTGTTTTGTCTTGCTTTGTTTTGTTTCTCCTTCTTAAATACAAAGGATAGAAATACATGTTAAGGCCCATGCATGTGTAGAATCTATAAACAGTTTGTGAGAACTGATCTTATGACACATGATGAAATGAACAGATGCTCTGAAGAAATAGAGACACTAAAGTACCCAGTGCTGATCCTGGAGTGTCATAATGTGACACCCAGAATTAGTATTATTCTTTGTTTAGAGTGATATTAGCCTGCTTGGGTTTGTTCAATCTCAACATAATTGAAGATATGGATAACTGCATGTATGTTTAAGTGTATAGGATTGATAACCATATTTCTAAGTTTTTGTTGGACAGTTGAACAGAACTGGTTGCAGTCCCCTTGTTTGAATCCCCACTTTATATGCTCCATTTTAGTATCCTGAATAACTATTTGTAAGCAGACAATCTATAATCATCAACTAGTGATTTCTTACTGTTCATTTTTTCTTTGAAAGTATGTATTATTTCTACCCCTTTTCTGTTTTGTTTAGTCTTTCTTTAAATAAAAATTTTTTTAAAAAGGCACTACAGTACCCAACTGATCCCGTAGTGTCATGATGTGGAATCTAGCAATACTATTATTCTTTGTTCAGAATGATTTTAGCCTGCTTTAGTTTGTTTAATCTCAACATAAATGAAGATATGGATAACTGCATGTATGTTTAAGTGTATAGGATTGACAACAACCATATTACTTAGTTTTTGTTGGATAGTTGAACAGAACTGTTTGCAGTCTTGCTGTTTGAATTCCCACTTTATATGTTCCACTTTTGTATCTTGAACAACTATTTGTAAAAGGACAGTATATAAACATAAAAAAAATCAACTGAACAAAATCATATGTCAGGCCACCTTGGGTCAAGCTAAAATCCATTTGTAGGGCTAAGAATATAGCTGCTTAGATAATATGGTTCAGTAGATCATCAAGGCCTGTAATATAAGTGTGTCTGGGGGACTCATTAACTTACTCTTAGCACAGAGAAGAACATGGCATTTCTGGAAGGGGTAGCGTGAGGGTCAGAGTGTGCTGGCATATTTCTATGTGTTTGCTACGTTGTTCAGAGTCACTGGACCAGGCAATACTGGTTACAGGATAAGTGTGAGCTGTTGTTCCTCTCTAGGGAAGGTGGTGGGCCTAGCCATCATGTTTCCATCTTGGGGTCTCATTTCTTTTTTCCTTTGAGGCAAGGTCTCACTATGTAGCCCAGGCTGGCCTCCAACTTTAAGCAATCCACCTGCTTTAGCTTCCCAGTGCTGGGATTATAGGTGTTTGCCACCAAGTCCATTGGGGCCTAGTTTCTACCAGCTCTTTCCTGGCCTGCAGGCCTGGCTCATCCCATCTCTGCTCTGATTTTCTTGGGGCTGGTCTCCATCTCTACCTGTCCTCGCTCTGTGCAATAAAGTGAGAAATATGCAGTTTTCTCCTCCTTGGGGGCCATGCAGTGATCTTGAGAAGGGGAGCTATACATCAACACAAAGTCTGGTGACAGAGCATCCTAGCTCCTTGTCATCAAGAGCTACCACAGCTCTGGGACAGACTAGCTTAGACTGATTTTTAGAAAAAAGAACATGAAAACATTCAAATAAGAACAGGGGAAAAACATGACTTAGGGTGTGAGTGTTGTGGAAAACAGGATAGCAGACTTTTTCAACTTGCATAAGGAACAAATCCTGCAGGAGAATGCCTTTATGTGGCTAGCCTGGCTCAGAAAATCTTGCTTCTGAGTCTCAGAGATAATGTTACAAAGGTTTTCATAGAGTTTATGGAGGGCAGGGGGACGAGTTCAAACTACAATAGTTACTCAAAAATGACAAGTTTGTAACTTTAGCCATCTGTTCCACCTCAGTCAGGTAGGGAATCTAACCCAAGATGAGGGAGATGGCAATGTGCACCACAAGGTAGAGAGTGAAGTCCTGGTATGGGAGGAGAAGGGGGACATCACACATTGGTTGTGCGGCAGTGAATTATTTGTTAAGTGTTTCACACAGTGCCCATAGTAGGTGCTCAATAAATACATGTGAAGATGAATCAGATTATCATTAATAATATAGTAAAAAATATCTGCATGCAGTTCCTGAAATCTGATGACTTCAGAGTCACAGTAAGTCTGCAATTTAGAGAAATATGAGTTTATATTAATAAAATAATACATAAAGTATACCGTGTAACCTTCAGATCATTATCTTTTCATCATTTTAACTTGAGAACATACTATTTTACAATGTAACCTCCAACAATATTGATGAAGTATGTGAATTGATTTTGATGCATGACAAATCATTTACTATTATTATTCTTTTTCTTCACAAAAAGCAAAACCACAGGAATTCAATAAGTTAAATAATGTTAGAGAAATTAGTTTTAAACTCAATTTGGTTTTATAGTATTTATAAAATATTGAGTGACTCAAATGGAGGATTCCCTTCCATGTCATACTCTAGATAGGATCTACCATAGACTTAAAACAAATTACCTTCTATGAAGTCTTTACAGCAGCTAATATTTTTTGATAATCAGCTTGATTTTTTTTTGAAGTTCAATCTTATTCAGCTTTACTTAAAGTTCAGTCTAGTGAGAGCCAACATTTAGTAATGGAAAGAACTGAAATTTTGAAATCAAATTTTAGTTCAAACACAGGTTTCACTTCTTCCTAATAGTGAAAATGGTCAGCCATTGTCTGGTTTCTTAGCATTAAAAGTGTTCTGCGGGAATTGTGAAATGCTGAACCAAATTATCTGTGTTTGTAGGTAATTTTATTTGTGTCGATATGTTCATTTTTAGCAGGATATTCATTTCAGAAAACCACAGTGAAAGACAATGACAAGATTTAAATGTTTTTCTAATCTTGAAATACTAGATACTATTCTGGTTATTGAATCAGTTTGGATATAATAGCTGGAAAATATGCAAAGAAGTGATCAAGGAAATAAATGATTTTATACTCAAATGTTTAAAAGACTTTGTACAGAAAGCACAATTCTGTGCTTATGGCAAGACTATGTTGAGTCTGAAGGCTGCACTTCAGGGGTGTGATGTTCTGATTGCATCTGCCCTGCAGACTTGGGAATCCTGAATTCTGCTCTTCATCAGCTTTTCCTTCCTGTGATGGCTCTGAGGAAAGCCTATTCCCCTGGAGGTGGGCATGGTGAAGAAACTCCTGATAGCTAGGGCTTCAGGCCTGACAATCCTTTCTCACAAGCAATCCTTTCTCAGGTCTGTGAGCTAGGAGAGGCCTCATGAAGGGCTCTTTTTGTCTAAGGTTAGGTTAAGCTCAATAGTCAAACAGAAAGCAGATAAAGTATCTGCTTTCATTCTTAATTGTTAATTCAAATATATTCAGGGGAAGAGCAGGTCACCCAACATGAACAACCGCAGAGTGTGGGAGGCTCTGCACCAGTGTCCAGGTAACCACAGCTTGACCTGGTCTGGCTCTCCAGGCTGATCATCGAGAGAGCAGAGTGGCCCCCAGGAGTAGGGATCCAAAGTACTCCAAAGTGGCATCAACCCTCTCCAAAGCAGGGGCCTTCTGCTTCCTAATACGCCCTAGGAAATGGATTCTGGATATTCTGAACCGGGCTTGGGCCTCCCTGAAAACATAAAGTTGAACTCCCCATGGAGGCATCCCCATAAACACTTTTGTGAGAAAGGATTGCGGATCCTCACCTGGGTTCTTAGTGGGAAACAATTTCCACAACATTGCAGTGTTGGTACCTGGTCCTTTCTCCCTAGCAAAGGCCTGAGGACAGAGCTGGGTTTGTTTCTGAGTCTCTTTGCAACATTGCAGGGTGTGAGAACCACACCAGACCCCCTATACGCATGTTTAAAGTGAGTAATAAATCGTGTGGGTATTCACGATCAGGGAAGCACGTGTGTAGGCACCTAGGGAAAGCATGCAGCCAGTAAAGGCGCCAATTCCAGGCCGAGGTCAGGCAGGATGCAGGCTGCAGGGCGCGGGATGGGCTTCCAAGGGAGGGCCACTGGTGACCACTGGAAATGAAGGCGGCTCTCATTTCCCCACGGCAGGGACCTTACAGGTTAGGTCCAGAATGCTAAGTGGAGTGCAAGCGTGCAGCACCCAGGCTGTGTGTTGCGCTGCTGTTTCCTCTGCTCCTTCCTTTGTGTGGCAGTAAGGACCAAACCTAAGACCTCTGCACAAAGTTGGTCGCCTCACCCCAGCTCATTTTATTTTTTGGAGATAGATGCTAATTTGTCCAGGCAGTCTTTCTGCCTCAACCTCCCAGGAGGGTGGGATTAGAAGTGGCAGCGTCGTCACTGCTTTTCCTATCATAGTTTTGCCTCAGATTCTTTTTAGCTTTGTGGGGGGCAGTGGTCAAGGTCACATCAGCCCTCGCCCCTCCTAGAGCGTTCTCTGGCACTTCTGCGCAGTGGACTGCGGCCTGCGGACCAGACAATTGTGACAGCTTCCCCTCCAAACCTAGCGGGGCGTAAAGAGGTTGCAAGCGCCAAGGGCTGGCCTGGGAAGGTAGCCCCACCGCTTGGTTCCTGGGCAAGGAACGTGGGCAGAGCCAGGGATGGAATCACCGGGCGAGCCTGGTTTCCTGAGGTCCTTCCTCGGTGGAGGCGGTCAGTGGCATCTGATAAACTCGTTTTGTATGGAGGTTTATTCTCCGTTTCCTCTTTCCCTCGGTTTTGCCAAGGGACTAGAAATCTGCTGTGGATAAAGTCGACCCCCAGGAGCCCGCGGAAAGGCGGCGCCTGCGCAAGCACGCGGCTGTTGGTCACTTCCGCCCGGCTTCCGCCCGCCGCGTCTCCTAACGGCGGGTGTGGCGCCCTCTCCGGCCCCGCCCACTCGTCATGTATGACCGGACGCCGCGCTGGCTCCCCCTGGCTGTGTGTGGCGGCACCGAGGAGCGTGTGGGCCCGGGGTCCTACCAGGTCGCGTTCCCGCAGCGGCGGGCGGCCGGTAAGGTGGCGGAGAGGTTGCCTGTGAGGTGTGGCCCCGCGCCTGCTGTCCTGTGTGTGCACCGGATGGAGCGCAGCGCAGGCTCTGCGGCCGCAGCCGCAGGGAGGGCGTGTGTGGGGCCCTCGGACCGGACTGGGCTTTGGCCATGCGTGCCTCCCTCCCCTGCCCTTCCCACCTGCATCTCAGGCGCCTTAATTTCCTTTAGCAGACACTTACCGGCCAAGGTGTTTTCTGTTTGTATTTTGCCATATCATTTAATTTTATTTTTTTCGCCATATCATTGTAGATCGGCTTCTTGGCCCCCAACACTTGCCTGCCACCCCTGTGTTCAAACATCCTAAGAACCTCTTTTTCTCTATTGTGTACAGAAAGCTACTTTCTTGAGAGGTGGACTGGGTTGTATAATTTAGTTATTTGCCTCATTCGTTTACAGTTAGTGAATTAGGCCGAACTTTTAATATTTCTTTTTAAAAAAATTTTTTTTATTTAAGGAAAAAAAGAAAACAGAAAAAGGGTACAAGTAATACAAAATTTAAAAAATAAACAGTAAGAAATCACTAGTTAATAGATTACATATTCTCATCTTAGAAATAGTTGTTCAAGTTACAAAATTGAAGCATATAAAGTGGACTTTCAAACTGAGTGCAGACAGTTTTGTTCAGTGATCCAAAAAACACTCTTAATACAGTTATCTATCTTACTTAAACATATATGCAGTTATAAACTTTAGAGCACTTTCTTTTCTTTTGTACAATGACAATTACACATCTTGGGTTTTATTACTACCACATTTCTTATTACTTTTTTTGAAGAGAGTAAAACCAAATGTGACATATCAGAACAGAGTCAGTCAAATCAAAAGCATGGACATAATAGATAATGTAAAAACAAAATACAAGGTGATCAACAATGGTTACCATACTGCCTCTTGCTATTTTAAGAAGAATTGCCAGTTATAATAAAATTGAACTAAACAGTAAAGAATAAAACCAAAGCATTGGAGACATTACAGGATTTTAAAAGAAAATAATAGTCAAATGGAATGGGTGTCATAATGAATCTTATTGTCTTCACAGTTTTGCCTATACCTTCGAACTTGGTACTATCAAGCAAAGCAGAATAGAGGAAAATCAGTCAAAACAAGATGGTGAGGGCAATACAGGATTTCAAATCAAGTTAATAGGAAATCAAAATAGGTTACTATAATGTATCCTGCTATTTTTTATTTATTTTCCCTTAATTAAAAAGATAAAGAGAAAAAAGTAAATAATTCAAAAAAAGGGATTGAGATAAAAGAGGGCATAACAACAAAACAGCGCAGGTCAAAACATAACCATTTAAGCAAAATAGTGTTGCACCACAAGATATCCTGACATAAAAATAGTTACCATAGTGTCTCTTTCCTTGAAATCTTTTGAGTATAACTTCATATACTGTAGCTCCAAACATATCAAGACACTATAAAACCATTCAAGAGAATGACATTATTACAGGGTATTCAGAACCAGCTAACAAAAAATGAACAATGGTTTCTGTATAATCTCCCGTCTATAAAAGTTTTTGCTTATATTATCACATATAATAAAATCCAATAAGATACAACCTTTTAAGACTGATGGAGACAGAAGAATACAAGTTTGATGGGACTTCAAAACAAGATGGTACTAAATCAGCACTAGCTATTATGATGTCTTGTTTTCTCCAAAATAGCTATTTTTATCATCCGATCTTCTCTGCCTCATTTCTGTTGAGCTCTTTTTCTGTCATTTGTTGTCAGTTTGTCTTCTTCATTTCGTTTTCTGCTCCATTCATTGTGGCCTCTCTGCCACTATTTCTGGAATCTTGGTATTTTCCTTTTTTAGACTATCCTGCAGTATTCTCTATAGAGGTGAATTCATGGTTGCAAATTCCCCTAGTTCCTCTTTATCCTGGAAGCACCTTGTTTTTCCATCAATTTCTAGGGACAGTTGTACAGGATATATCAATCTTGGCTGGAGGTTATTATCTTTCAAAGCTTGAATTATTTCCCCCCACGTTCTTTGTGATTTGATGGTTTGTGCTGAGAAGTCTGCTGTAATTTAGATGGGTGTTCTCTTGTAAGTGATCTATTTCTTGTCTCTGATGGCTTTTAATATTCTGTTCTTATATTGGATTTCTGGAATTTTGATTATTATATGCCTGGGTGTAGCTCTGTTTGGGTTGTAGGTGGCTAGAGTCCTGTATGCCTCATATATCTGAGTGTCTTTACCATTTGCTAAATTAGGGAAATTCTCTTGAATTATTTCTGTGAATAGCTTTTGTACTCCATTTGTTTGTGTCCCTACTTCTTCTTTTATGTTCTTAATTCTTAAGTTATAGATCCTCTTATCATCTTCTAGCTTTTATATTGTTGCTGTTTGTTTTTTTGTTATTTTTAAGAAGTTTTTCATTTCATGCTCCCATATTACAAATCTGCCTTCCAGTTCAGGTAATCTGTCCTTAGTTTCTTTCAAGCTGTTATGCCAGTTTTCGATAGAGTTTTAGTTTCCTGGTAATCTCTTTGAACCTGCTTCACGTATTCTATGTTTTCTCTATCTTCTCCATCAAACAGTTCTCCCCTTTTTTTCTGTTCTTCCATTCCACCATCTGTTTTTTCTTGGGCGGTGCTTAGCATTTCTCTAACTACTCTGCTTATGTCTTGCTTCAGATCATTAATAACGTCATTCCTGAACTCGTCTATGAGGCTCTGGAGACAGTGCTTTATGTCTATTGGTGCAGTGTCTGCTATTGCATGTTTATAGGATTGGGGGCCGAGGACCCTTTCTTGTTGCTCCCTTTTCCCATATTCTTTGTTCCTTATATACAAAGCGTATATAGGAGGCCCAGCTTCCTTCCCTGTCAGCCACAGTCTGTTTGAATTGCACCGGCTAGGTGTTCCCACCCACCGCAGTGCACCAGGGAGATATGGACCAGGCAGCCTATGCTGGGCTGCCCCTCCAGGTCAACCTACCAAAGACTTCACCACTAGGGTGTACCTCCAGGCTGCTGGGACCTGGGTTGGGCTAGCCTACTGGATCTCAGCCAGGGGGGTCATGCAGGCCAGGCACTCCCCACCAATCCCGCTTGAGAGGAGGTTATGTGACTGAAGTCACTGCAGCATCTTGTTCTGTGTAGTCTGCCTGGTCCGAGTATGTCCTCTGCTGAAGCCTCCTTCTCTATGGAAGGGTCCCCGATCCACTCACTCACCGCAGGTCGATTCAGGGCACCTGGCCAGTCCCACTCCCAACTCTATTCAACGCTTCCTACTCTCAGAGATTTCGCACCTCTCTACCTTTCGTGCCGATTGGGACGCAGCAGCGGCTGCAGAAAATTCAAATCACAGCTTCCAGTGGTGTGGGGTCCAGCTTCTGCACTGAGACCTTATCTGTTCCTGCTGTATCACTGGGATTGTGTTTCCAGTTGGTTTCTCTTAATTTAGTTCATTCCTGGATCGGCAAAGAATATCACCCCTTGCCTAGGACTTCCTGCCTGGCACCATTCCTGGATTTCAAGTGCGGTTTCTCAGAGAGCCTCCGAAGTTGCTGCTATCTATCCGCCATGTTCTCCCAGAAGTCCAAGGATCTATAACTGGAATCCTCAAAATCAGTGAGATACTCTTCTGCCTTTTCAGCCTGCACACTGGTTGGCTTATGAGAAGGCATGGTTTCTCTTCTGCCTGAGGCTCTTATCCATCAGAATAGCTGGGGTTGCTTCCTGGGAAAGCCTCGAGGAAAGTGGCGGTGATCAAGACGGAAGCTGTGGGGCTGCACTAGAAGGATCGAACTTTTAATATTTCCAATTTGCGGAATCTTTTTCTAGTCTGATGATGTTCTTGGAGCTTAATCCCACCCAAATTACAAGTTTTTCCCTTTGTTGAACTTTATTTTCCATGTAACTGCAATTGTATATTTTTAAACAAATGCCAGGATAAATTATTCTGTTGACTGATCAGATTAGGTTTCTTTGGGTAAAGTTTATGATCAGTCAAGTGTTTTAAATTTTGAGTTTTACTTCTTTTCACCATCTTATCTCATTGTTTTTGGAGCTTATATATGTATTAAATGTATTAAAATACATTTGAGCTATGTTATTGTCCAACACCTTACCTATAAACACCTAAAAACACCTATAATGTTTCTTGAGCCTTATTTTGGTGCTTTCTTAGAAACTCCTTCTCATGGCGTCTCCAACAGCTTAATTCTTTCCTGATTGTTTTTCTTTCTGTTCATTTGAAAGAGTACTTGACAAGTGGTTAAGTGCTGATTAAGGGAATCGTTTTTCCCCTCTCACCAACTTTTCCTAGGCTTCTTTAAATGTTTGCATTTTTCTGAATACCTTTTAAGTCCTTAGGTGGTGTGGGCAGGAAAATGATGGACTCCAAAAATTAAAAAGAAGCGCTTTATTAGCTGAGCTCAGTGGCAGCACTGTCCCAGGAAAGCAGCCAGGGAATTGTGCCCGCCATGAGTAGGCTGCAGGGAGTTACAAAGCAGCAAACCACAAGGGGAGGGGTCAGGGTCCCCATAAAAGGCAACTGGTGTAGTTTTACATGGATCAGGGAGGCGAAACAGTTGCAGAAACCAAGGAGGCAGAGAGGGTTTTACATGGTGGGTATGTTACAAGGTTGCAATTTAACTCGCAATTACACAAGTTTTATAGGAAGAGAACAAGTTATAAATGTGTATAGCACATTTTGAGTTTTTGAACTTAAAACATTATGTATTGTATTTGCCGTGTTCATTGCTTTTCTTGTACTTATTGTTCATATCTATATCCTCACCTACTTTTCGTATTCTGATTTTCATTACTCACAGATGAAAATCCTTAAAAATTGTCAGATATTAATGGACATATTTTTTTTTTGATATCTTTTACTGGGCATCTTTAGCATCTGAAACTCTTACATGTCTGAGCCTCCAACTGTCTAAACTCAATTTTCCTCTTACAAAGAATTCACTATCAGTGCATCTATTCTAGCTAGTGAC